ATTGTGGAAATGTGAAACATTACTTAAAAAAAAAGATGTTTTATTAGAATTATATGTGTGTGTGTGATAAATTTAACCTACATATTTAACATATAATTCTAGATCAATGAATATATGTATATGAACATATGTATATGTGTGTGTGCGCGTGTGTATGTGTGTGTGTGTGTGTGTGTGTGTGTGTCCTTCTAGGTATTTATCTCACCAGAACACAACCCCAGAGAAAACAGGCATGTGTAAAAGAATTTTATTACAGCATGTTTATAGTTGTAAGAAAAAGATAACAAAGGAAATATCTTTCAAGAGTGAATAAATAAAGGAATATTAACACTATGGAATATTATTATGTGCAGTCCAAGATGAATCAGAGCTCTATCAGTTTCTTGGGCAGAATGTCTTTGAAGTACTGTGGAGTTTTAAAAGAAAGCAAAATGCCAGAGAGTGTATAGAAAACAATTTCACTTTTATAAAACAATGATCCCAAATGCTTAATACCAAATCCTTATTCCTGTGTTAAAATTCTTGCCAATATCACTATGTATTTGTACACAGTATATTGCATCTGTCCACAATTACTTGATCGTGGAGAAAACAGGAAGGGTTATGTGTGAGAATCTTTTTTTTTTTTGAGAGAGAGAGAGAGGAGAGAATTTTTTAATATTTATTTTTCAGTCTTCGGCGGACACAACATCTTTATTTTATTTGTATGTGGTGCTGAGGATCGAACCCAGTGCCGTGTGCATGCCAGGCAAGCGCGTTACCGCTTGAGCCACATCCCCAGCCCCATGTGAGAATCTTAATATGGGTTCCCCGGAGTGAAAGGGGCCAACCCTGCAGGCTGACAGAGTGGTGGGGAAAGGGATGAGGGAGGCCAGACCATCATCAACCAAAATAACAATAACAATAATCATTTAAAAGCCGGGGCCTTTGGAGCTGCACTCTCTCCCCTTGCAACCCAGCTTGCCCTCTGCCCCACAATGCGTGACTCCTGGGGCCCTTGACCATCACCCCCTCTGTCCCGCATGTGGCCTTCCATGGTTTTTGCTATGACTCCAGAATGGGACTCGAGGTACTGAGGCGCCTAGCTGGGGACTGCCTTCCGTGCCGAGCAGCAAACCTCAGAGTTCAGTCCCTGCTCTTCCCAAGCACTTTGACAAACTCATGGGAATGAGGGGAAGAGGCTATGGGAACACTGGTTCCCTTGCTCTCTCAATTCACATCCTCCCAAGTCTCAGCCTTCAGAGCACATCCGCAGAGGACTCCTCTGAGTCCCTCCCCATCCAAATTGTCTCCCTGTTACTTCCTTTCATAGCACATGTCACAATTTGCCATTGTTTTTTGTTTGTGGGTGTGTGTGTGTTTAATGACTATTTCTTTAATAAGCTGTAAGTGCCTCAAAGAGAGGGGACCTTGTGCATCTAGCACCCAGCACCCAGTGTGGACTGTGGCAGGGCTCAAGAAAGATTGGTTGCTTTCATTAACTTACTCACTCATTCTCTTTTTCCTTGACTCATTCATTCACTCCTTTTCTTCATTTAATCCTTTATTCATACCAGAAACATGTGCTATTGGCCAATGACTTTTCCCACTCTGAGTCTTCTACATTATAGGTGGCTTTTCTTGGGGCGGGGGTAGGAGTGGGGACATGACGGCAGAATTCTGGGAATGCATCCACAACTTGGGAGAGCAGAGCTGGGTGAGCTGGAAGCTCTCCATGCAAGGAGGGAAAATTCCAGAAGGCTGGAAGATCTGAGAGGAAGATGCTAGAGGATCAGACGGCACACACTGTCAGTGATGGGGTGGAGGCTGGACAGGGGCAGGCTCCCTTCTGTGCCCAGGATCTCCCTCTGCCCAGCTTGTCTGCCTGGTCCTCTCCCCATGTGTATGTGTGAAATCCCGCCCTTCCTGTGGGCAGTCAGATAGCCTCCAAGTCTCCCTCACTCCTCCAGCTGCAAGGGCTGTTCCCATCTGCACATTCCCTAAGCACAAACCCTGGACCTGCCTCAAGGGTGACCACTTCCTAGCTTGGGCTGTGGTTTTACCTGTTCCCATGTGTCCCGCAGGCCCAGGATCTAGCACTGTGTGGTCACTCTTGCCATGTTGGCCTGACAAGTGAGCACCTCTGTGAGTTAGGGCAACGGTGATGGTTACGAGCCCATTTTACAGATGGGGAAATGAGGGCACAGACGAGTGGCATGGCCTTTGCTCCCAAGGCAAAGGAGTAGCAGAGCCTAGACTTGGCCGAGTTTCCAGTCCCAGGGGCAGGGCTTGTTCCAGGCCAGCCTGGAAGGAGGTGGGGGCAGGGTGGGGTGGATTGGAAGCTGGATCCTGAGAACCAGCAGGCCAGAGAGATTTGGAGTTCAGATGGCCAAGTTCAGGGAAAGCACAGCTGGGGAGGAGCCAAGGTATTTATTATGCTTGGTCTCCAGCTCCAAACAGAGCTGATGGATGGAGCCGCTCCAGTTCCTATAAACAGCTGGGGCCTCCCTCCCCGCCACCCGCCACCCCTCCCCGTTCTCAGCCACAACTGTTTCCAGTGAGATAGCGGGTGTGTGTGTGTGTGTGGGGGGGTGACCAAGGGAGGAAGGAAAAAAGGAATGAGATAGGACCAAAGAAGGGAGGGTGGCCAGCACGCATGCATTCTTACTTTGCTTCCCCACTGTCTGCTGCTGCCCCTGGACGGCCCACGCCCTGCGTCCTGCTCTGGGTTCTCTCCAGGTCCCTGGGTCTGTCTGAGGGCTGGTCTTAATCCCATGAGTTTATAAGTCCTGGAGGGCAGGAGCCATTCATTCAAGAAATCTTTTCTGAGCTCTCTGCCTGTGTTTATTCACAGGCCCTGGGGACACAGAGAGAGAACTCCTGAATAGGGCCTCCTCCCAGAGCTGCACCAGTGTGCTATGGCTAAGGCGGCCGGGGCTGAGGGCCAGGAGGTAAATCTGGGCAGTCCTCCTGGAGGGGGTGGTAGGGCAGGGGTAGGAAAAGGAGTTTGCAGGCAGATCAGTGGGTGAGACGTTCCAGGGAGGGAGGGGGAGAGTCTGGCGTTGGAGAGGTCAGGGTGCAGGGCCACTTAATGGTTAAGATTGATGGCTCCCTGGGTTCTAGCCTCAGTTCTGGAGTGTCGGCTTCTGTAAAAAGAGAATGATATCAATGGAAGTCTCTCCAAAGTCAGAATGGAACACAACAGTGAACATCAAGTGCTCAGCACCAGGTCTGCCCGGCCGTGCTCAATAACTGTCAGCTCTGAGCACACTGTAGGAGGCAGAGATGGGGGCCACACTGTAGGAGGCAAAGATGGGGGCCACACTGTGGGAGGCAGAGATGGGAGCTGGGGGCAGCAGGCACCTGGCCTCCTAGGCCCTTATGAGCTGCCAGAAAGACAGGGGCACAGGAAGCAGACAACAGAGCCCAGGCCTGGGGGACTTAGCACCTGGGGATGAGAAAATAGGTAGCTGTCGTGTGCCCGGCCTTGCTGGGGGGCGCCATGACAGCTCACGGAACTGAACGAACCAGTGACACTGGGCACCTGAGGGCCTCCCTGGAACTTGCTGAAAGCTTGGGAAGCCGGATGCTCTGATGACCTAGTTGGCAGCTGTGACCATGTTTGGCTGAAAACAGGAATTTCTGCCTCACTAGGGGGTCTTAGCTAGGTGAGCAAACTGTCCTGTTTGCCAGGAAAAGGGGTCAGGGGCCCGGTGCCCCCTGGCTGCATGCGAGGCCCACAGACCTGGGGCTGAGCTTGGCCTGCGCTGCTGCCCGTCCCCAGGCCTTCACTGAGAGCCCACAGGTTGCACCACACCCTTCACCCCGCAGCACCACCCCATGAAATAGGCATTTATAATTGTTCTTTGGAGAGTAGGGGAAGCAGGAACTGGGAGGTGAGAGGTCACAGGCCAGAAAAGCTGGTTGGAGAAATCAGGAGGAAGAGCAGCCAGAAGCAGGGCCCAAGTGGCAGCAGGGGCCCAGGGGGGGACCAGGGTGCTTGGGTGGGGTCAGAGGAGCATCACCGAGATGGGCTTGGTGGGGTGGGGGCAGGTAGGGGAAGAAGCGTGGCTCCTGCAGAGGAGGGGTGCCTGGGTGTCAGGCTGCTGAGTGGCAGGTGGTCCCAGAGGACAGCTCCAAGGGCTGTGGAATGGGAGATTTAAGGGCCAGGGGAGGGGGTTCATTCCCTTCCCCACAGACTTGGCCTCCCCAGTGGCTCCTGCCCCTCCTCAGCTCCAACTCCTGGTCAGGACCCAGGGATGCTCTTCCAAGTTCAAGCTGGATCTGCAGCCCAGTTGCTCACTAACTGAATTCTCCAGACCCTGGGAGACCTCTGGCTGGAGACAAAGGGTCGAATGTCCAGGACAGGTGAGGCTGGAGGCAGAGACGTGGGCATTGAAGCAAGGGGGTGACTACAGCTGGGATGGTATCCTTGTGTCATCATTTAGAGATGGTTCATGGAAGATGAACACATAGAGGGGATGAAAGCAGTGGCCTAAGAGGGAGGGGACAACTTTTGAGTGTTGGGTCTCAGATGTCAAGGGTGGGGTCAGGATGGGGAAGGGGTCCAGAAGATAGATAGGGTCTGAAAGGTGCACCGTGTTGGCAAAGGAAACCCCAGGGGCCTGAGCAAGGGCAAGGGGGTGGGCTGGGGATGGGAGTGGCAGTGGCCGAGGTGGGGATGTGATGGTCTTTGTCTGATGAGCAAGACTTGAGACCTCCTGAGATGGGGTAGGGAGGGGACACATGGCTACAGAAGGAAGAGAACAAATCTGTCACCGGTTTTTCAGTGTTGGAGTAGAGAGCAGGGTTGTGTTGGGTGTGAGAGGACAGAGGTGTAACAGGATCATAAAGGGAGCTGAGGCCCCAAGGTCCAGGGTGGTGATGGCCCTGAGCCTCCATGTACCCCAAGAGACATGCCATGAGGACTGAAAGACTGGAAGGAAAGTCGGGAGGTTAGGGTTCAAGTGCACACATTGATGTGAATTGCCCACGGCAAAAAGGAGGCTGCAGGCCACACGTTTCCCCAAAGTCATATTTTAATACATTCATGTGGTTATACAAAGAGCTGGTCCCAGGGCCTGGGCCGTGGCCTGGCTTCTGGGAGGTGACAGCAGCATGGTGTAGTGTTTTCAAAGATCAGGCCCAGGGGCCAATGCCGTGACCTCTAGGCCTGAGAAGAGTGTCATGTGCAGTAGCACCTGTGGTCATGGTCCGAGCCAGGACTTTGTGCACCTGGCTGCCCCTCATACCACCAGGGCTTCAAGCAAGGGTCCAGCCCTGGATCTGCCCATTGGCCTTGGTTTCCTCATCTGTAAAAGAGTGCAGAGAACAGCATTCTGATCTTCTCATACATTCATAAGTGTCCATCATGGGTCAGACCACAGACCAAGCACAGGGAAGATGACTCTGGCTGGTCCCAGCGCTCTCCTTCTTCCCAGACAGCTCATGACTCCATGGTATGAGCAACAGGTATTTATCTAAGTTAAGCCTTTCTACCTATTTTCCTGGCAAGGGGTGGGAATCCTTGCATGATGAAGAACAGAAAGCAAGTTTGGAACTGGCATTATCTTGTGATGTGACAGCTGAGAGAGAAGGACACCACACAGGTGAAACCCCGAATTTTGACAGTGTTCGAGGTTGAACTCAAAGCCTTGTGCACGCTAGGCAAGCCTTCTACCACTGAGCCACATTTTCTTTTTTTGCAGGCTGTATCATTGACTTGTGCAGCTATGAGGAGGTTAGACTCCGTGATCTCAAAATCCAGGCTGTGCTCAACAGAGGGAGAGGGAATAAGGAAACATAGGAGCAAAAACAGGGAAAGGAGAAGCCACATCAGTCTGCAAAGGAGAGAATGAGGGAAACTGAGACAGAGGAGAAGCATAGGGCCTGTAGCTGCCTGCCTTTCTCCTGCCTGGTGGGAGAGAGGAGGAAAGGGCCCACACAGCACAGGATACTCAGGCTCTGTTCAGGCAACACGGAACCACTCAGGCCTGGACACAGAGGATGTGGGTTTGAATTTCAACTACGGCATTTCTTAGTTGCGGGACCTGGGAGGGAGACTTTGGGAGAGTTGTCTCCCCTTTTGTAAAATGAGGATAAAATACCAGACTCTGGGAGTTGTCACACAGAGGGGACGGTGAAGCTGGGGTCTGCATCTGCAGGTGACAAGCTGTGTGCAAAACAGAACCAGAAAGCTAAGGCTTGAACTCGTCTCAGCAGCCAGGATGGGGCTGGGATGGAGAAGGGGCTTGGGCAGGGGGTGGGGGAATTCAGGCAAGATCGGGGTCAATGTGTGCAGCAGGAGAGTGCCAGGGTGGGAAGGGCCTATGGAACATCCTAGCCCCAGCCCAGAAAACCACCTCTTAACAAGACTGGGGCTGCTGCAGCTTGCCTAACTAGGTCCACAGACACCCTCATGAGGCTCCAGTTCTCTCTTCTGGTCACAAGTTCCTCATTTTCCAGAGAGGCTGGAAGTCATTATCAGAAGATGTGACAAAACAGTCCACTTGGAAACATTTCAGACCAATCCTCCTGAGCTTGTGGCCCCCTTGACCTGGTACGGCAGGGGCAGGACTCTCCACCTGGGACTGGCTGGGGTTGCAGAGCCTCGAAGCCCTGGGCTTCCCCATCTTGAACCCCCATCCCCTGCCCAGCTCTGTGACCACCTCTCCTCCTCAGAGTGCCGCATGTGTTTCATTCAACTTACTGCATCCCCAGTACCCAAGAGCAGGGTGTGGCCCAAAACAGATGCTCGGGGAGGACTTGCTGATCCTGGGTCAACATTATTCTCTGCTGTCCCTGAAACTGCCCAGCTGCAGTTTCCACAGCTGGACCACTTGAGCAGCCTGGGAAGTGGGTCACCTTCTCATGCAGAAGGACGCATACAAAGGAGCCCTAGGCTGGGAGCTCGAGACCAGGGTTCCGGGACACCAGCTCACAGTGTGTCAGTCCCCACTGTGCTCTGTGCCTCCAGCTCCTGCACTGACCTGGAAGGGTCCCCTGGCTCCCTTAGGCTTTGTACTGTTGGTTGAATTTCTGCCGGCGGACACAACAGCAGGTGGCCAGTGTGGTGAGGAGGATGGCAGACACCAGTGCGAAGGTGAGGATGATGATGAGGTTGACATTCTTGAGCCCGCCCTTCTCACAGTCCTCAGGACGCACGTGGCTCAGGGACACCTCTGCCTGGGAGCCAAAGCGGCAGATCAGGTCCTGCGTGGCGTCCACATCCACTCGGCCCTGGTGCAGCTGGGCCGCCAGCCAGCCATTGCCACAGCAGCTGAGTGGATTCCCCTGCAGGTAGAGGCGCCGGAGGCTGGTCTCCAGGCCCCCCATGGCGCTCCCTGGCAGGAGGCTGAAGCTGTTGTTCCGTAGGTCCAGCACCTCCAAGGACACAGCCTGCGTCCAGGCAGGCAGGTGGCTGAGGCGGTTCTCAGCAAGATTGAGCCTCTTGAGGCAGCTGAAGCAGGGCAGGTCCACCTGCAGGACAGTCAGCCCATTGCCCTGCAGCTCTAGGACCTCCAAGGAGGCCTCCAGGCCAGCCAAGGCTCCTGTGGCCACATCCAGCCCAGGGTTGGCAGAAAGGTCCAGCTCAGTAAGCGGGGTGTGGAGGAAGGCCCCTGCCCTGAGCTTCTCCATCTCGTTATCTACCATGTTCAGAACGCGGAGGGTGGGGATGCCAGAGAAGGCCACGCAGCCTGGGGGATTGGGCTCAGCTGCGCCCCCGCAGGGACTCACCCGGTTCCCCTGCAGGTTGAGCCTCTGCAGGCTGGCCAAGCTGGCAAAGGTGTGGGGCGGCAGGTCCCGCAGGGCATTGTCCTGGAGGAGCAGCGTCCGTAGGGACCCCAGAGCTCTGGCACCCAGCTCCAGCACCTGGAGCGCATTGTGGCTTAAGTCCAGGAGCACCAGGCAGGGCAGGGAACCCGAATGCGGGGCCTTAAAGGCCTGCAGGCAGTTCCGGCTGAGGTTCAGAAAACGCAGAGAGGTCAGGCGCCCCAGGAAGCTGTCCGGGATGAGCTCAATCTCATTGTAGCTCAAGTCCAGGTTCAAGAGTTGGGAGAGCGGGGCAGTGCTGGTGTTCCAGCTAGGGTTGGAGAGGGGCAGGGCTGACCAGCCCTCCGAAGGCGCGTGGAGGCCCTCGCTGCCCTGGGGCAGCCCCGAGGGGAGCCGGATAAGGTTGTTGGACACGTTCAGGTAGATGAGATGTGGGAGCGCGGCCAGGTCGGGGAAGTGCAGCAGCTTGTTCTCCCTCAGGTCAAGCCAGGCCAGCTGGTACTCAGCCGGGGGCTCCGGGGCTGTCTGAAAGGCCTCGATGCTGTTGCAGCTCAGGTCAAGCACCCGTAGCTGCCGGAGGCTAAAGTCAGAGATGCAGGTGAGGGAATTCCTGGAGAGATTGAGGTGGGCCAGGTGGGGCAGGGCCTCAAAAGCCCCGTCCTCGATGTCCATCAGCACGTTACTGTGCAGGTCAAGGCGCTCCAGCGCAGGCATGCCCCAGAAGGTGCGGCGGCCCAGGCGCGTCAGGCTGTTCTCGGCCAGAGAGAGCGAGCGCAGGCTGGGCGCCTCCCCCAGGAGCTGCTCCACCAGGCCACTGTACAGGCTGTTTCCAGACAGGTCCAGGGAGGTCACGTGCAGCAAGGTGCCCAGACCACTGGCGTTCAGCGCAGTGCCCACCGCCAGGCGGTTGTGGGCCAGATTGAGGTGCTCCAGGTGGGGCAAGGCCTGGAAGACTCCCGGCGGGAGGAAGCTGATCTCGTTGACACTCAGGTCCAGACGACGGAGTGCTGTGTAGAAGCCCAGGGGCAAGGCCACGATGTCCTGCAGCTGGTTTCCAGAGAGGTCAAGGGCCTCGATGTCCAACGGGAGCAATGAGGGGACCTGGAGCAGGCCAAGGCCCTGGCACAAGGCCTCCTTCTCCACCTGAGGAGGGTGATGGCGAGGAGAGCAGCTCACATTAACGGGTGCAGTAGCGGGTGGAAGCAGACAAGCTACAAGACACACATGCCCCCCACCCAGGCTTGGGTCAGCTCTCCCAGGGACTCTCGGGATGCTAGACTGTCCTCACCCAGCCTAATGTCCGATGACCCCCCTGTGCTCCCTGCCCTGTCTCTGACACCTGTACAGTGTTGAGCAGAAGGGAGGGACTAGAGAAGTCGGACGGGCAGATGGATGGAGAGATGACAGACGTGAGGACAAGTGAGCTAAGGGCAGCAAGGTACCGAATATTATTACTCCATTTCACAGGAAGCTAAGCCAGGTCTCACTCAGTGCGACCTAGAGCCAGTGAGCAGCAGGGCCAATGGGGGACCAGGCTTCCTGGTTCCATATCCTGGGTCCCCTCTACAGCCCAGAGGGTTAAATTCCCAGTGCTAGACCGGAAGCTATGTTGGAAAAGAGGCTTCCAACCTGCAGTGTGTCCTCCTCTCCTCGGTTTTTATTTTGCTTTCCACCCTCAGATCTCATTCAGGCTCAGGTTCCATGGAGCTCCCAGATGTGACCTCCTTTCTGCAGCTGTCATCTGCCCCCACCCCATTAAGTGCCTTGCTTCCCACGGCCTGGTGCAGCATCAGGCTCTGAGGTAAGGCAGGGAGAGGGAACGGGGCAAATGGTGGCCCGGGTACCAAACAACATTCTTTGGTGATAGGACTGCAATGTTGCTCTGTGACCTCCATCACGTCACAGTGCCACTCTGGTTTCTTATCCCAAGTTCCCCATCCCTCCCCAGCCACCTCTCAACATTTGACATTGCACTTTTGGGCCTGTGGTCTCATAGATCCTCAGAATAGCATGGGGTGATCTGTTACCATCACCCTTACGGATAGAAATCCAGGCCCAGAGAGGGCCAAGGAGACATCAGGATCCCCCAGGTGAGGAGGGAGCTGCCATTTAACCCAGGCCGTTTTACAACCAAAGGCCCCACTCCTGTACCTTCTGGGGCCAGAATTCTGTGCAAACATGGGTCTTTTCCTTTTTGGTGTCTTGCAGACCTCCAGGAAACCCAGCCTTTGCCAGCAAACGGTCTGCCTTCCACCACCACCCAGCTCAGGCCTGCTTCTGCCCCAGCGTCTCTGTCTCCACTGACCCCTGGGGACCCACTGCCTGCCAAAACACTGCTCCAAGACTCCACTCAGAAACTCTTGTCCTCCAGGGGGAGTCCAGGATCCTCAGCAAGGCATTCAAGGCTGTCTGTGGCCACTACCAACCTGTCCCCTCACCTCTTCCCTCAGCCCAGTCCAGCCCACATGCCTGGTCACACCCTCCATGCCCACTTCTGGGCCTCCCCCGAGCTGGTCGTGCCATCCTTGACCAGACCCATGGTGAATTCTTCACGCTGGGCTCCAGCCTCTCCTCCGCTAGGGAGCCTTCCATGACTGCACCATATAGTGGCTTTGCCCCAACTGAACCGCAACCTTTTGTGTGAGGATGTGCTATCAGTGAACTCAGAGCAAAGAGGGCCTGGTGTAATTGACATGGGTGCCTGAACCTCACCCACAGAAAGAACTTAGGATATTTCTGTAATGAACAAGAGTCACAGACAACTGTGACCGACACCAAGTTGGTCACCTCTCAGCTGGGAAAGAAAAAGGATGATCTGTATTCTCAGGTTAGAGGTGGAGACCAGCAGAGCAGAAAGAGGACAGCCCACCCTCCTAAGCAACTTTGCAAAACCCTGTCTCTAAATTTAAAAAAAAAATTTTTTTTTTTTTAAAGAGCTAAGGATGTGTGTGGCTCAGTGATTAAATGCCCTGATGCCCCTGAGTTCAAACCCTGGTACAAAAAAAAGAAAAATCTCAGAATGACCCAGGGGCAAGAAGAATGGTGGCTTTGCAGAAGACTGGCAGGTGCTGCCACCAGCCCTTCTTGTCCCTGAAGCAGTGACCCATTCTGTGTCCAGGTGGAGCTGCCGGAGGGCTGTCCCTTCTCCAACCCAGGCTCTGCCACTGACTTCAGTGACTGCCCTGCCTTACAGGTGGACCTAGGTAGTCTCTTTTCCCTGCACCCTGCAGGGTCACAGGGCTAGTCTCCCTGGCTTAGAGCAGGAGAAAGGAATCAAACCTGGTCCCTGCCCTAGAGAATTTATTAGTCTGGCAGATAAGAAAGGCTCTGACCCTCCCTGGACAGCCCCACATGCTCAGGATGCTCAATATTGAGATGGAGGAAAGCTTGGGGCTGGCAGCAGGCCAAAAGAGAGAACAACCAAGCTAGGTTAGCCGGGGAGGCTTCCTGGAGGAGGCAGCAGTTCTGAGCTCTGAGTGGCATTTCAGCAGTCAGTCAAGGAGGCCAGATAGGGGGAGGGATTGGTCCCAGAAGGGACCAGTACTGAGAAGCCCCTTCCAGCTGGCCCATCCCACCTTCCCTACACATATCCATAATCTGGATTCCCCAGCTGGGCTACTGGCCTGCAGGGACAGTAAGGACTAGAGTCTGACAAGTCACCTAACTTCTCCAAGCTGGGTTTCCACCTCTGTTAGATGGAAATAAGGGGGCTTACCTGGCAGGGTCGCTGAGTAAGCCAGTATTAAAACATTCTAGCGAGTGCACATTGAATGCAAGGTAAGCCCCTTTCCTCTCCTGACTTCCCTTATATCTGGCTGCTGGGGCTGGGGCAGCAGGACACCCTAGGGCAAGGGTGAGGTATGGTGGCCCTCGCCCTGCCTGGCAGAGCATCTTACCATCCTACAGGGCAGCTTGTCTCGGTGCTGGGAAGTAGCCAGGCCTTGGGTCAGCACAGCCAGGAGCAGCAGGATCTGGTGGCTCATGGCTCTGTGGAGGGTGGGAGGAAAGGCCATACAGTGAGACCACGGGCTCTTCCCCTGCAAGCCCCACCTCCCACCTGTCCTTGCCTACAAAAAGGTGCTGGACACAGTTGTGCAAAGGCCCCGGGGGGGGGGGGACAGGCCAGGTGGGCCAGGACCCGAGGAGGCAAGAATTTTAAAGCAGGGGGTGACCAGGTCTGATTTGGATTTTCAAAAGTCCCTACCTGGTGGGAGACAACCTGAAGGGGATGCACAGGACACAGAGGGACCTCAGGGGCTGCCCTGGGCTAGGGCTAGGGGTAGAGGCCTCTGACTCGGTTTCTACCCAGGCCATAAGCAGGTGCCCCCATTCCAGCCTCAGGCCCCCAACAGAATTCCTCCCCTCCCCCGCCCCCTACCCCACTCCCCGCCACCCCCCTGCTTTATTTTGCTCTTGCTCTTTGATTCTCTGGTTCTGGAGCCCCTGCCATTGTTCCTGGACTGGGCTCAGGCCTCAACAGGAAGCCCCGCCGGGGGCCTGCCCTGCCTGGCACTGTCCCTGCACACTTCCCCAGGAGCAGGCCGCCAGGCCCCACTTTCACTGAGGCCACCACCGGCTGTGCAGGGCAACAGGCCTGCTGGGCCTGCCCTCCCTTCCATCAGCCTGGGACGGGACTGAGGGCACCCAAAGGCCCCCAGCAGGGTGGAATCCCACAGTTCCCTCCCGAGGACCTGAGCCAAGGGTTGGGGAGACACAAATCGACCAGCTCACTTGACGAGTTTGTTCATTGAGTCACACCTTTACTGACTGCTTCCTCATAGCTGGCTCTGTGTTGGGACAAAACAGAGCATACAAGGGAACGCAATGGGAACGGAGAGTGTTAACACAGAAGGACGTCTAGAGCCCTCCTAGAACCCTGGGCTCAGAGGCACCCACTGCTCTCATGCCTCTACTAACCTGCTGTGTGACTTTCCATAAGTCACTTTACCTCTCTTGAGTTTGTTTTCTTTTCTGAGGCTAATGACAGCCCTGCCAAGTTTTGTTGAGGTTCAAATGAGATATATTCCATGAAAGTGCCACTTGGCCTTTATGTCACTTATGCACTCTTCTCAATACTTTACAATTGGTAATTCACTTAGTCCCCCCAAAACTCAATGATTTGGTTCCATTATTACCATTCTCATTTTATCTAAGGATAAACTAAAGCTCAGACAGGTTAACTCACAAAACCAGGGTCACAAAACCTGCTAAATGGCAGGTTCAGGCAAAATCTGGCTCCTGGGTCTATGCCCTAAACCTCTGAGCCAAAAGTCTCCCACTGGGGGTGCTTGATCAGTGAGTGCTGCACTGCGACTCCGAGGAGGCTTTGCAGGGAAAGGGCCTTCGGGGGCTTGTCTCTGTCAGAACCCACTGGTGATGAGTTTTAAACAAAGATGGCTCGCTGAGGTTCTTTCCTGCTGGAACACTAGGGGCCAGGGTGACATCTTTCAACCTCTTCTTTGGTTTCCTCAGGCCACAGGCCCCACCCACATTGGTGCTCTCACCTGCACTGCAGGTTGCCCTGGAAATTTTGTTCTGTTGTTAAAAAGTGTCCACCACCGAGTCTGCCACACAGCAGGCTCAGAAAGCCCCTGGGAGGCCTTCGGGGCTCTGAGGACCGTCACTCCCCACCAGCTCTCCTCTCCCACTCTGGGTCCTGGATGCCCCATTTCCTTCCTTCCCTGAGCACTTTCCCAGGACTCCAGACCTTCACCCCCACCCCCCAATGCTGCTCTTCACTTCTCGTTCTTCCTCCTCCTCCTCCTCCCATGGCCTCCTAGAGAAGCCTTCTTTGGGGCCCCAGGTCTGGGCTACGGTCCTCCTCTCTCCTGTGCTCCAGGCCTGCAGCTGCAGGGAGCCAGCAGTGAGCACCCCAGGGTCTGCTCCCCACCCCTCTAGGAAGTGCCCCAGGGCAGAGGGGTGTCTGGGCAACAGGGCGATGCTGGTGACCTCAGTTCCCCTTGGCTCTCCTTCACCTCCCTGCCGCACTCCCTCCCCCACCACTGCATTCTGCTGTCCTCCCTGAAAACAGAGCCCACATGGGCCACCTCCTTCCTCCATCACTGCCAGGTGCCAGACACAGACAGGTGCCACTGTGACCCTGGGCCTTGACCACGACAACAGCCAACCCGGGTATTTGTTTCCATGCTTCTACCCGTACCTCTTGGGAACGGTCCTGCTTGAACAGCCAGAGTGCAGAGGTAAACCCTAGATCAAGTTGTGATTGTCTGCTTTGAAAATTTCCATTACACCCAGGCTCCCCCCGAGTCTCCTGATCTCCAGCTATTCCTCCCTCCCCTCTCAGTGCCAGCTTTCTCCCAGTGCCTCCAGGGGCCTTTGCCCTTGCTGCTCCCTCTGCCTGGAATGTTCTTCCCCCAGCTCCTCAGGCGTTTTACTATTTTCCTTACATCTCTTATTTTGTGAGAATTTCTTATTCTGTGGGAACTGAAACCTACTAAGTAGGTGCTCACTAAATATCCCATGAACAAAATGGAAGAGTGGGGGAATCACAACGGGGTGGGGAGTGGGGAGTGCCAGGTGAGGTTTAGTTCTGAGCTTGAAGGTAGAGATGCCAAAAGGGGCCCTTATTTCCCCCTCCTCTACCAAACCCCACCCCACCCACCCCAGTGTGGGCATCTGCGCATTCAGAAGGCAAGGTCACTGCAGCACATGGGGACTCTGATGGGAAGAGGGCGGGCGCTTAGCCCTAGGCCCCCCTCAGCAGTGGCCAAGACACAATGTGTAGTAGCATTCAAGGCCTCCTCTCTCTCACACAAGGGAGGATGGATGTCACTTAGACCCAGTCTCACATCCAAACTCCACTGCTCACCAGCCTCACTCCCAACAGTAGGTCCCTTAACCTCTCCAGTTCTTCAGGGTCCCATCTACAGGGCAAGTAGCCTGGTTTCCATTCTGCTGCTACCACCTACAGCCATTGTGACGATGTGGTGGAGACGGCTGTAGAGCTGCCTGGGACACTGAAGTGTCCTTCCCAGGAGGTGTAAAGGCCAAGCATCCCAGATCAAGGGTATTGAGGAAGGAGGCCCCAGGCCTGCAAACAAGTGGCCAGGCAGGAGAAGGCAGCAGACACAGCAGGACTCTGACTCAGAGAAGTGCTGAGAGAGAGAGAGAGAGAGAGAGAGAGAGAAGAGAAGAGAAGAGGAGAGAGAGAAATGGAGGTGAGGAATAATGCCTACAATCAAAAGTCCACCCCCACCACGCAAAGATGTTACATACTCTTCTAAGCACTTGACCTAATATCACTTATTTAATTCTCAAAACCACCCAAAGAGGCAATTATTGTAATTCCCATTTTACAGACCAGAAAACTGAGGCCCAGAAAGGCCTGAGTGCTTTCTTCTCCAACGGTGCTGGGCCCACTGCCCTCTAGAGAACCGTCCATATTTTTGCCCACAAGGAAAATGAGGCTCAGAGAGGTCACTTACTCAAAGTCACACAGGCAGCAAATAGCAGAATCAGGATCAGAATCCCCAAACAACTGTTTCCATTACATCAAGTAAGATCTCCCTCCATAACCCAGCCAAGGAACCCAGGCTCAGGCACGGAAGCAGCCAGGTGCTCTCAACAGCTCCCGGCCTCCCTCTGACAGGCAGAGAGGGTCCTGGGAGAGCTGCTGCGGATTCACAGCGAGCAGTGAATCACCGAGGGCAAGCCCCGTTCTGGAGACGTGTGCATCCCACGGGGGAATTAGACCTTAACCCAAAGGAATGCGGCTGTGATGGCGGAATCTCAGGCAGCCAGGGGTGGGGGTGGGGGGTCTCCACATCTCATCCCCATAAAGAAGGCTGGCTCAAGCCCCTGGGAGAACGGTGGTCACCCCTTCCAGAGGGATGAGCAGGCTCTCCAGCGCGGTGGGATGGAAAGCCCACACCGGGCCTGGAGC